GTTGGTGTCATCTACAAACTTAATGCGAGTGCACTCACTCCCAGATCATTGCTAAAGATATTGAACAGAACTAGCCTCAGTCCTGAGCCCTGGGGAACACCACTTGTGACCAGCCACAAACTGGATTTAGCTCTGTAAATCTGTTGTAGTTGTCCTGGCTTAGTAGAAAAGTTCTGCAGGTCGTAGCTTGAGCACCCTGTGTCTGTTGTCCAAATTTCAAATTTTAATTAAGAAGCCCACGTCTAGTTATTGTTATTTATTGTTAAACACAGATTAATTCTGAAGATTGATCACCTGGTATGTAGCTGTTGATTCTAGTTTTGCATCTATTTGTTATACCAGGCATATTTCTGTCCCAGTTACTCTATGTTGGAGGAGTCCTTATTGGATTGTAGTGGGTTGTGTTTGGTGGTTTTTTTGCTGTTGTTTGAGTTTTTTAAAGGTAAAGAGCTGTGTAATTGTGCTGTGTAAGTAATTGTCTTCTTCTAGTACTTGTAAAGTTTTAATACAAATTTATGATCTTATGTCTGTGTAAAGTATTTCTCAATACTGATCTCTCAGTGGCAGTGATTATTTGCATTTTGTAGATGAGGAGTTTAGGCAGATCAAGTAATGTGTCTGTACGAGAGCTGGAAATTCATCTTGGTGCTTCTGAACCTTAGGCTGGCAGTCTAACCACTTAGACTTCAGTTGCCTTAAGATAAAGGCACTCAAACTCAGTTTTAAACTGCACTTAAGCCCTCTGACATGCTATAAAAAACAGTATTGCTTTTTGTGGTACTTGGTATTGAGAGTCTGCAATAGGATGATATGTTTCAAAAAAAATCCATGTGTGTGCTGGAGGCTCTGTGTACTGTGCATCTCTCCTTCATGCATTCCTAAGATGAAAAAGTGGTTGCAGCTATAGTTTATAATCAAGTCAATTTGCAGTGTTGTCCAGTTATTCTACATTTAATTCTAACCGTAATGCTTAAAGTAATAAAGGTTTTGTGAATAAGGAACTGCCACAGTTGCACACAGAATGTTCACTTACCCTGTTAAATGTGGATGTTTTTATTGGTGTTCCTTGAATTGATCTCTGTTACCCTCTGGTGCTGCAGCTGTTCCTAAAAAAGGGCATGCTGTGCCTCACGTAGTAGCTTGCATAATGTTGACAAGGGAGAAAGTCATACAAGTCCACATTAAAGCAAATATTGCTTATGTGAGTTTATTAAATACAATCTTTAATGCTATTATGTGAAATTGTATGGTTATGAAGAGTGTAAGATTTTCCTCTTTTAAGTGAGAGAAGATGAAGCATATTTTGGCCTCATTGAAGAAAAAAAATATTCCTGGCCTCTGAACACATGCTTCTAATGTCTAGTATAAATGGTCATTATGAGTTAGGTTGCTTAAGGCTACATCAAGTGTGCTTGGTCAACCTGGCTGCTAACCAATTGAAGTGGTATACCATGAGCAGTGCACGGCCATGCAATGTGTGACAAGGATTTGACCTGACAGTTTTACGGTTGTGCAACATGTGGAGGCTTAGAGCAACAGAAAGGGGTGTGACGAACTGTGTGGCAGAGACCTGTACTGTTTCTCCTGCTTCAGTGGGGAAAAATGTGTAATGCTTTTGTGAAGGAAAACTGAAAAGTTGTTTTTTTTTTTTTTCCCCTTTTGCATTACATGACATAGGCTAGATGTGAAGCCATCTGGTTTTTTTTTTTCTACCTGAAAGACACTGGCAAACGAGTTGTGCTTTTGTGACTGAAATCACAGAATCACAGAATGTTAGGGATTGGGAGGGACCTCAAAAGATTATCTAGTCCAGCCCCCCTGCCAGAGCAGGATCACCTAAAGTAGGTCACACAGATCCACATGTGTTGCCTGATCTAGTCAAGAGGTGGCGTCCCTGGTGGCAGGGAGGCTGGATTAAAATGATCTCTAAGGTCCCTTCCAGCTTAGGCCATTCTGTGATCAGACTTGCATCTATGATCAGGTACACGACCAGGTGGGTTTTGAATGTCTCCAAAGAAGGAGACTCCACAACCTCTCTGGGCAGCCTGTGCCAGGGCTCTGTCACCCTCACAGTGAAAAAGTCTTTTCTGATATTTTTGTGGAATCTCCTGTATTCCAGCTTGCACCCATTGCCCTTTGTCCTGTTGTCGGACATCACTGAAAAGAGCCTGGCACTGTCCTCCTGACACTCCCCCTTGACATATTTTGTCAAGTCACCCCTCAGCCTCCTCCATTTATTTGTTATTATTTATTTGTTATTCATTTGTTATTACGGAAAGCCATTTGGTTATCTTTGGTAGGTTATTTTGCCTTTCAAAAATTAAGATTTTTACATCTTGCACTATTGAACTACTTCCTTATGTTTTGCTGTAGACTGGCATGGGATGTTCTTATTTTTTCACCTGTTTAATCCTTTTCATGTAACTTGGTACCCTTGAGTATATAGTTACTGATTTCTTCAAGGGTCTAATGAGCTTATATGTTGTGAAATATTTCTAATCTCTTCAATACTGTAGACAAATTGTATCACAAAAGTGTTTGAGAACTTGTCACTCTATGTGCCTAGCTTGCTGCATGGCACATGCTGAACCTTGTACCATTGGCCTCAGCCAACTCATCAAGCCTGTCCAGATGGTTCTGTAGAGCCTTCTTGGCCTCTAGCAAATCCACACTCCCTCTCAGCTTCATGTTGACCATGAATTTACTGAGGGTGCACTTGATCCCCTTGTCCAGATGACTGATAAAAATATTAAACAGAACTGGCCCCAATCCTGCGCCCTGGGCAACACCACTTGTGACCAATTGGATTTGACTCCATTCACCACCACTCTTTAGGCCTGATCATCTGACCAGTTTTTCACCTGTTTGGTTTTTTTTATCTGTTTTTGATAGATGGTTATTTATCAGGCATGCTAGGTAATTTTTCTGCTTAACCCATTCTCTGTAAATGATGGAAGATGAAAAGTCGAAAAGTGACTAATTAATGGGTTGAAAACGGGTAAAAATCAAAGTATGCTGTATGAAAGCGTTAAGTAACAAAGAGCTCAAGAGAAGGGAAGTCTTTGATTTTGAGAGTAGTTCAGTTAATTTAATAAGTAGCAGAAAAGAGATTTGGGGGGGAGTTGCTTATAAGCAAAGATCTGGGCTTTGCATTTATTTTCATAGGGTGTAGTGGTTGGAACTCGGACAATCTACTGAATTTCTACTGAATTTCTTATTGCATGTTTGATATAGTCTTGTATTATTTTATTCTAAAAAATTTCAGGAATTACTACCTAGAGGCTTTCAGTTATAGCTTGTAGCTTGCTTGTATATTGGTCATAACAAAAGCTTGGGTCACTTTTTCTGTTATTCTCAGAGTTATCTAAGCACTTAGGTATTTTTTAATAGTGGAGGGATTTTTTCCTTTCTACCAGCATAGGAGAAATTAACTTTTTTTCATGTATCTGTATTCCCTTAAAGCAGAATTTACCTAGCCTGTTGCAACTAACTGAGCACTAAAGTCTCATCCTCTTGTAGAAGCCGTGACATGCAATCACTCAACTCTCTTACTGTGCCTCTTGTAACATACTTAGATCAGTTTACATGTGCTGCAATATTGCTGGTGTGTTTTGGAACTGTAATACAGGTGGGTAAACCCTATCTATTAGAGGTAAAGAAACCAATGGAGAGTGAACTGCTTCCCTAGCAGCGGGTGCTCTGGCCACTGTGAATTGCAGCTGCTTTCAGGGGCATGTGTGCCTCACCTTCGATTCTTGAGGTCCCCTCTGATGAACAGGAAGAGCAACTGAAGCTAGTAGGTGCAAAAGGAGCAGCCTAATCTAGGCAAGTAATTTAACAGTAGTATGTTACTGCTGTTAAAGCTTTCAAAATGCTGACTTTTCAGTTGCTAGTGGGTGAGTTGAAATGAAAGATTTCTTTTGCAATTGATTTACCTGTGTCAGTAGAACACAGAATGGGAGATTAAAGAGAGGGAACTGGAGATAAAGGAAAAAAATCATTGGAGACTGGGATTTAATAAAAAATCTTTAAAAATACTCCATAGTGGAGACTAGGAGTTGTAAATCCCCTATGAAAACCTTTGTGGTTTTGAAAGTTGGGTAGTAAGTTTCTGGAAGTTGAGTGAGATGGATCACAAGATCCCTATGTTCCTCCAGAACTGGTTCTCGTGAAGCTGTGGTAGCTCACACTTGTGAGAGTTTGAGTTCAAGGAGCTTGAGGGGTCTGTGTATAGTTCTATAGATCTGTAAGAGCCTTAGCTGAAGAGCATGCAGTACATTTCAGGAGTTCTTAATTTGATGCCACTTTGACAAGGAATATTTGAATCTAAGAGCTTTCAAGGAGATATTGCCACTATGGTTGGTCTTCAGTGCTTTGGCTTTTGTCTTGCCTCTTTATAATTCTGCATTAGTCTCTTGTGGGTTCTTGGTTTTAGCAAGCTTGTAGCACCTCTTGTTGAAGTGCTTTTGGAAACATCCAGTTGGTAGGGACTGGTCCAGTTGTTGAGAGAAAGTCTGAATAATGGTTTCTTTGGAGATGGATTTAGATAAAGTCTCAAAAATAAATGAACTTCTCTTTCTGATTGGTTATCTTTTGGGCTGTTTACTTTTTATTTGACTGGCCACTTGCTGCTTAATCTGTGTCCTCAAAAGTGCAATCTGGGAGCCTGCCACCTCAAGGCAACACATGACCTATTGCATGTGTGCTGCAAACTAGGCACTTGTGTGTTGGAGATCTGCCATGTTTGGGTTTAAGGGGATCTATGGGCTAAACTCACCTTTTTTTGCTTATAAAAGCAGATTGGGGTCATATATTGTTTTGCAGACTGGGTATTAATGAGCACCATCCTAATTGCATTTCTCTTTTCTGACTTGAATATGCAGGACTCTAGAGAGCAGCAGCATTATGTTTAGCATTACGTTTAGTGGGAATGTGTGATAAACTGTGGATTGTATCTTTCAAACTACCTACAGGAATTGTATTATTTATTTCTCAAGAGGATGTTCCCTGTGGATATTTTAAGCACCTACAGTCATGAAGACTTGGAGAGTTCAGGAGAGAACTATATATTTAGCCTTCAGAAGGGGAATCCAAAGAATCCTGAATTCTTCTCTGTGCCAGGCCATACCAAGGTAAAAATCAGCAAATGGATTAGTCCCAGTTTTCTTGATATACTTGTAGTATTAAAAGATTTACAATATCCAGTCCATAACTATTGAATTACATAATTATTTTTAGCAAAGCTTTTGTGATTTTTCAAATTCCTCTTTGTATGTTAAGCTTTTCTTCTTTTCGTTCTGGAATTGCATTTGAATCTGGGCATTGGTGACTTTGGTGCTTTTAGACAGTGGATCCGTATGCATTAAATAATTTGTGGAGAAGAGTCAGACACTTTCCTAAAAGGCACTAAATCATGCAGTCACAAAAATCTGTTGTTGTAGCTAAGGGGTTTCTGGTTTACTGAAGCTGATTGTCTTTTTTGTATTTGAATCCTTCAGTGCTCTTCATGGTTGGGTTCAAATCTTGATCAGCAAGTTTCAATAATTTCAAAACTGATTCTCTTTTTCTGAATTACTCCATGCTAGTTTTTGGAGTTCTAGAAGAGGCTGTCTGGGACGCTTTTTTTTTAAGCATTTATCCCTTGCATAAATTGTTCAATGGTGGTTGTGTCTAGATGAACATTTCTATTAGAACTAGGACCAATAAAAGCAATGATGTGTAACTTCAGTGAAAAGTGAGCTGAGAAGATTCTCTGTGGGAATGAAAGGTTAGTGGTGTAGATTCCTTGGTGGAAGCAAGGGTCTTGAGTACTTTGCTGCATTTCTGCATGTACTGTGTGCCTAAATGTTTGTTTGTATAAACATCATTTGTGGCATAGCACTTACTGATCTTCTTAGATTGTTTGAGCAAGTCTTATCTACCACACCATTAATGTCTGTCTAGTTTTTTATTCATTAATTAAACATTGAAAACGTGAATTTAAATATCAAAAAAATGCATTTCCACACAGGTAGTCAACTCCTTAAAGATGGATTGATTTGACTCATCTTACATTGTTCCTGAGGGCAAATCAAACAGATAACTTTGGAATTCCTAAAATGTGCAATTTGAGAGAAGAAAGCTGTTCTGAATCCAGCCTTTCCACTGTCCTGCATTAGGGCTCATGTTAACAAACAGCCATTTTGCTGAGGCATTTTGTTTCTGTACTTGACTGCCTGCCTTGTTCTTCTGTTGACTTTGACAGCCTGCATAGCTGAGAGAGTTGATGTGAACATGCTGCTGGCTCTTTGCACAAATTCAGTTACGCACATAAATGCAAACTGCTGACAGCAGGGAGCTGTAACAGTATAAATTACTGTAGGGAGATCTACTAGATCCTGAGAGTCAGCTCTTCATGATGTAGTCTGTCTTTAGAAAGAAAAGCCTAAAGTAAGGCCTAGGATCTGATTCTTGTCTTTTACAGTTAACTGTTAAGTACTCTGTTTTCAACATTCATATTGCTTAAGCTGCTGAACATTCTCTTTATATTTTAATAATGTTGTTTTAGCAAGGGTCTATCAAAGTATTTTGTACTTCTGTTTCAGATTCCTATTAATGTGACAACTGTTGGGTTTGTTCCTATTTATGGTGATGATACGACACACAAAGTTCTTGCTTTGTTTTCACCGTTGGACTCTCTTAAAGGTTTCATTTTAAGATTTTAATCTCTGTTGCTGTTCCTTCTTCTGTGACAGATACATGTAGCCAAGTCCTTCTTCATTTCATGCTAATGTAGCTCATAACTTTGCCATTTTTACATTTTTTGTTCACTGCATTCTTTTTCCCCATAGTATTTTTGTTGATTCATATACAACAGTGATCGGACTCTGCATGCTAATCAGAGTAGAACTGGACCCATTGGATTCAGAATATATGTAGCAAAACAACATGATACTTATCTGAATCTGTATACATCATGTCTTTATGTACACCTCACCTCTCCAGAAGGAATTTATCACTCACAGAGTCCATTACTTTGCCCATAAATTTAGATGTTCTTTATTAGCAATGATTGATCATCATCAAGTGTAAGTTTGTCTTTAGCTTTAGGTCCTACCAGGTCCTGCCTAGGATGACATCTAAGATGTCATTTTGTGTTGTGTTGTTGTGGTTTGTTTTTTTTCCCTTACCTTTCTCCCTTCCATGTTTTCTTCTCTTTCCATATAATGCCATGTATATGATTGCCAAGATGCCACAAATGCTGATAGATCAAACTTCCTAGTTGCTAATCACATGGCCATCAGCCTTTTTGTATTCATCTGACTCCCTAAAATTTGCACAGTTTCAATATCAATATCCATTAGTATTTCAAAACTAAAATATATATATGAATGAGATTCCTAGCAGGCCTGGTTTTTATTGGAAGGAGGTGCTAGAGCACAGTGATGAAATTTAGTGCTTGTATCTGAAAAACAGCTGTTGTATATCATACTGAATGAAATCTGTGTTTGGTTTTATTGTTCTCAGCTTTCAGATAAGTTTTGGACTAGGAAGCATTACATTATTACATTAAGAGAGGGTATATAGGACCACATTTGCTGTGCTAGGGTAGTAAGAGCTGCATTAATGTAGTGCCAACTAGAAGATGCTTAACTTGATTACTAAAATGTTATTCCTAATTGTTTAGCAGCTTTAATATGTTTCTTCTGAAATGGTAAGAATCACTAACTTCTTATTTTTCCCCTTGTTTTTTTTCAAGCTGTAGCCCTGTATCTTGCTGACCAGTGGTGGTCAATTGATGACATTGTGAAAACATCTTACTGTGCTAAACAGGGGCTTCATCAGGTAAAGCGCTTCAGCATTCACCTAGCAATTATTCTTACCCTTCAAAATAATGACAAATAGCTAGTGTGTGAGATGGTACATGTCTTCATTTAATTCAGAAATGAATTGGCTGTCTCAAGTTAAAAGCAAGGTCAGCGGGAATAGAGGAATGGTGATAGCAGATAACTTTATTGTGAAGATAGTGTGTAGGGCAAGAGTGACACTCATACAGTACCTTAATTTATAAGCTATTTAGATGTTAACAATGTTAAAAGTTTTTTCTTTGCTCTCTAGAATGTTGTATGTTTGGTTATATTGAAACATTGTAGTAGAGTGGTGCATTGTATTATAACAGTACCTATTGGTCTTATCAGAAGACTAGTAAGTGACAAATACTGTTGGGGACCTGTCTGATAGAGGCAAGTTAAAGCTGGTGGTTTGTGGTGGCAGTACATGAAGTCTGGGAAAGTAAGTTGCCTGGTATCTGCTTAACTGCTCATCATTGATGTTTTGCCATTAATGACACCTGTATAGCCTGGTGTTTTGTTTTTTTTCCAGACCTAGAAATCTTTTTTTTTTTTAAGAGTGTAATTTATCTGCTCATGGAATCTGGGCACTCATCTTAGGTATCTGTGTGGGATTTTTTTTTTAATTTACTGTAGAGAATTTGGAGAAAAGAACGTGGTTCCTCCATTCTTTCGCAGTGGGTAGGATAATTTTGACCTTAGGTTTCGTATGTAAAAGGAGACCTACAGGACAGAGAAAAGGATATTGAGTTCCTTGTTTCATGCCACAGAAACTGTTGTAACTGGCTGTTCCACTGCATCATGTCCTGTTGATTGCCGCTCTGTCATCAGTGATTGAGTGTGCCAAGCCCTGCTACCGCTCATGATTTCTCCTTTGTCAGGCTCCAATTACCTGATAGCCTGGGAACTCTGGGGCTGGTGTTGTGTTATGTTTGGTGAATGTTTATTAAATCCAAAAATACTTTTGAGTTAAAATTAAAATGTTCTCCCCACTGCCCTGCTACTAGCACTTCTCTCAGCTTTTACCCATTGGATCAAGAGTGACGCTGAAGTCATGAAATATTTTCTGTCTATGGTAGTGCTATATACTTAACCTGTTTTTAAGGCTTCTGAGCATCTCCACTCCTTCAAACTCCAGAACTTCATCCTTCTTGAGCACTTCTAGCATCTCTCGAATGTCTGCAGCTCTGTTAACTGACTACTTTGAAAAATAAGGTCCCTAATGTATGAGTATAAACTAATCTCACCACTCTTCTAAAATATTCTTCTCTGTCTCCTTAGGTGAAGACTGTTGGAGAGAGGATTGTACTCTATGTTCTGAACAGAATTATCTATCGGACACAAGAAAGGGGGAGAAATGAAATCCCATTTCTCTGTCATAGTAGCAATGCATATGCTAAGATCATGTGGCAAAAAGGAGAGGCTATTGGATATTATTCTGTTAAACCAAGAGGTAAAACAATGTGAATATTGAAGGATTTGGGAGGAGTAAAGTGGGAGAGATAGGGAGCTTATTTGAAGAGTATATCTTTGGTAGGCTTCACAAGCCTTGCAGACATAATGAGTTAATGTTTTCCTGAAATTATAAGAGGTCAGATTACTGTTAAAATTTCTAGCTTAGATGCTTACATACTTTAGCAGTCTAAAAGTTCTTAGGTTTCTCCATATTCTACAAAATATATTTAAAATGGTAGAAACGAGGTATGCTTGAAAGCTTACTCCACCCCACCACCCCCCACAGAACAGTTGTACATGGTTGGATTGGGCAGTGCTTGGTTGGGAGTTTTTTGTTTCAGGATTTTTTTTTATCTAACTCCAGAATGCAGAGATCCTTCTTTTATAAAACGACTGTAGAATTGAATATAATTGCACCCTCAGTAAGTTTGCAGATGACATGAACCTGGGTGGGAGTGTCGATGTGCTGGAGGTCAGGAAGACTCTACAGAGGGACATGAACAGGCTGGATCAACGAGCTGAGGCTCATAGTACTAGGTACAGCAAGGCCAAGCACCATGTCCTGCCCTTGGGTCACAACAAGCCCTGACAGTGCCAGAAGCGTGGAGCAGAGCAGCTGGAAAGGGCCCAACAGAAAAGACCCTGGGGGTGCTGGTGAACAGCCAGCTCAACAAGAGCCTGCGGTGTGCCCATGTGGCCAAGGTGGCAAATGGCATCCTGGCCTGCATCAGAAATAGCGTGGCCAGCAGGATCAGGGCTGTGATTGCCCCCTGTACTCAGCACTGGTGAGGCTGCACCTTGAGCCCTGTGTTGGACCCCTGACTCCAAGAAAGCCAGTAAGATGCTGAAGCATGTCCAGAGATGGGCAGCAAAGGTGGTGAAGGATCTAGAGCACAAGTCTTAACGCGCAGTGGCTGAGGGCACTGGGGTTGTTCAGCCTGGAGAAATGGAGGCTCAGGGGAGACCTTATCCCTCTCTCCAAGTACCTGAAAGGAGGCTGTAGGGATATGGGGGTTGGTATCTTCTCCCAAGTATGAAGTGATAGGACAAGAAGAAATGACCTCAAGTTAACACCAGAGGATGCTTAAATTGGATATTGGGGGAAAAAAAATCTTTACAGAAGGAGTGGTGAAACATTGACACAGGCTGCCCACAGACATGATGGAGTCACCATCCCTGGAGGTATTTAGAAGATGTGCAGATGTGGTGCTTAGAGTCGTGGTCTAGTGGTGGATTTTGCAGTATTAAGTTAATGTTTGAATGTCATCTTAAAGGTCTTTTCCAACCTAAACAATTCTGTGGCATTTTATGGCATGATACCATAGAACTTTGCTTAGAGGCATAAGATTCAGGTACATCTGGTTTTAATGAAGACATTCCCTTTTCACATGTATTCCTTCAGAGATTACAATTGAGCCTGCAGGGTTATGTTACTAGTAGTACAGACTTTGGGTTTTTTCTTTTTCTAAAACATTATGATTTCTCTTTAATTTGGAATTTGTGATTTTCTTTTTTTAATTTTTAATATCATTGTATATAGAATCATAGAATGGTTTGGATTGGAAAGGACCCTAAAGATATCTAGTTCCAGCCCCTCTGCCATGTGCAGAGACATTTCCCACTAGATGAGGTTACTCAAAGCCCCATCCAGCCTGGCCTTGTAACACTTCCAGGCAGGGGGGTGTCCACAGCTTTGGTCTATTTGTTGCAGTGTCTCACCACCCTCACAGTAAAGAATTTCTTCCTAATATCTAATCTAGACCTACCTTCTTTAAGTTTGAAACCATTACCCCTTTTACTATCACTACGTTCTCTGATAAAAGTGTCCCTTCCCTTCCTTCCTGTAGGCCTCCTTAAAGTACTGGATGGCCCCTATAAGGTCTCCCCAGACCCTTCTCTACTTCAGGCTGGACAATCCTAACTCTCTCAGCCTGTCCTCATAGGAGAGGTGCTCTATCCCTCTAATTATCTTCATGGCCCTCCTCTGGACCTCAAGTAGGTCCACATCCTTAAGTTGGATGCCCCAGAGCTGAATGTAGCACTGCAGGTGGGGGTCTCATGAGAGCAGAGCAGAGAGTCAGAATCGCCTCCCTTGACCTGTTGGCCACACTTATCTTGATTGTGATTTGCGTTTTGGGCTGCAAGCACATTTCTGGCTCATGTTCAGTTTTTCATCAACCAAGTCCCTCTCTGCAGAGCTGCTCTCAATCGGCTCGTCAGCCAGCCTGTGTTAGTGCTTGAGATTGCCTCAACCCAGGTGCACGTTCTTGCATTTGACCTTGTTGAACTTCATGAGGTTGGCACAGGCCCACCTCTCTAGCCTGTCCAGGTCCCTCTGGATGACATCCCTTCCCTGCAGAGCATCGACTGCACCACAAAGCGTGGTGTCATTGGCAAACTTGCTGAGGGTGCACACTCAATCTCACTGTCCATGTCACTGACAAAGATGTTAAGCAGCATCCATCCCGATACTGACCCCTGAGGAATATCATATAACTTAAAACTATATAGTTTGGTATAATCTTTAGAAACTGTAAGTTTTTATTTGAATATGCTAAGATCTATGCTGCAGCACGTCAATGCTGAAATACCGATGGATGTGTTTTACCCTCCCATTATTTCAGGAAGTCCTTATAGCACTTACCAGAATCAGAAATATAAGTTGTCAGTGCTAGATGCAATGTTTGTAAGAAAGCAGCATCGTGGGAGAGACTCTGGGTTAAGAATATTGGAAGACTTTGTGAATTCATTTAATGAAGATGCTCTTGGCATAAAGTATCCATTGTCGGCTTTCATGTATACAGGCAAGCTCTTCAATTTACTCTTCTGATCTTTGTGCTTTCTTTACAAATGACTGCTATTATTCAACCTCCATGTTTGTGGCTCTGTCCTCAGTTTCCGTGTTAAATGTTCTGCTCTTCAGTGCAGACTAAAAATCCTGATTTAAGATGCTGAAGTAGTTCCTGATTAGATTTTTAATCCTTTACATGGGATTAGATTATTGGATCTGTGTTGGCTTTCTGCTACTGTGAAATTTACCACTGTGTCCCCACACTAGCCTCCAGAATGGGCTGTGGTATATCTGTCTGTGCTCTAATGTCTATCTTTCATTGTAACGCTTTTTTTTTTTTTTTTTTGGCTAACATCTAAGATGCACAAGGTCATTCAACTTACACTTTCTCAGAATTTCTGGTCAAATGGACATACTAGGCTATGTTTTAACTTGTGTATAAGTAGGTGCAGTTCTAATCTAGAAGGAAAACATTTAGGGCTCTTTCATTAGCAACTTGAGGATTGTCATCTAAGAAATGAAACACGTCCTGGAAGTTGCATTGCTTACAACTGTGTTCAGGCAAGCACATTTCCTCTGCCCTGTTTAACAAGGGTTGTCCTATTCTTAGGCCATCTGCCATGCTTTCTTTTGTGAACTTTTTCATCTGGCCTTCTTAGCCACTGGAAGCCGCTGCTTTTCTCAGTACCATTGTCTGTTGTTGGATCTTACTACCCCTGTTTTGTTAGGCTTCAACCAGCAAGTGGCCTTGAGCAGAATTTCCTTTCCCTGGTCAAGGAATGATACAACAGGGATTTTCTCTGCTTGGATTATGCATCAGTAGTGAATCGAGTGAAAAGCAATAGTTTTCCAGGTAGCCCCTAGAGAATAGTGTCAAAGCATGCTTCTCCACCTGTGTATTTAGTGTATATATATCGTGAGAGAAAAGAGGTGGAGGGACAGCAGAGAAGAAAATATTCCAGACATGAGCAGTTGGTGGATGATAAACCATGAAATGGTAATGGGTTTGCCTGCTTAGAGATGGCTTTTTAAAAGTGCCTATAGTAACACAGGGTGAGACAAAAATCACTTGACTATATCTTCTACTGAAGAACCCTTCCATCCTGGGTTGAGTCTTGTGGTTGGCAGGAACAGTGACCAGTGGAGCTGTAAAACTTGCATCGTGTGTAGCAAAGAAGAAAATTCCATCCATCTCGATTTGTAGCTTAAGGTAATAATGGAAAGTGATTAAACCTGAAGAAAGGTTTTATTGAGAAGGATGAGTGGGATAAAGCAGTATTATGTTTATTTCAGACTTTACTGTTGTTGAACGGTTTTTGTGTATGGTGGAAGATAAAATAAATTTGATTTCAGATAAACTTAAAAAAATAAGGCAAAGTTGAGTAAATAATATATATAATATAACGGGGTTTTACGTTTTATGTTTGTCCAGCTTGCAAGCAATATTTTGAGAAGTACCCTGGGAATCCTCACCTATTGTGGGAGGTGGAAGGAGCAGGAAATTGGTTCCAGAGAACATCTATTATGGCTATGTTGCAACATGAAAAGCGCATAACTGCAGGTATGGATGCTTTGTTTTGTTGTCTCCTGACACTTAGTAGAAGTTGAAAAAGCACTCTGCAAGTACAACAGTGACTTCTGTGAACACTGCCTGTGGAAACTAGCAGAAAGATTTTTATTTGTCGTGAGACTTGTGAGATCATATTTGGAAAAGTTAATTGTTATATAAAGGTTCTACAAATCTCCATTTCCCTATTTCATCTTTTAACAGGAGAGGCTTCACAGAAAGAAAATAATGTCCAAGCAGAGGTTCCTGTTCAGGATGCAGCAGTATCTGAAGTAAGTGCACAGTCTGAACTAGAAACAACGCAAAGTGTAGGTACACAGACTGATATTTCTTTTAAGCAGTTTGGTAGTCAGAGGTGGAGAAATAAGAGTATTGTTTGGTCATATCATAGCTTAATTGTCTCAAGTCTGCACAACATACACAGAAAAAGTAACAGATGCATTTATCTTATGTTGTGCTTCACACTGATGTAACATTGACCAAGCTGTAGTTAAAAATACTTTTATTGTGAGGAGGGGGGAGCTGTCGCTGTGAAAGTAGAGCGTCTGTGCCACAGCTGTCAGGGTCCATAGTTCTAGTTCTTTGCTAGCAGATTGGAGAAGGGAGAGTATTTCAACTGGCTCTGAGACTGAACTGCCTAGAAAGCTGTTGAATAGTAGAGTCATCTTAAGGGTTGAGAGAATGAGGAAAAGTGTTTATAGAAGTGCACATTCACATCACAGTTCAATACAATGTAAGGTGTTTAGTTTACTTTCAGAGATCCTTATATTGTCTGTATAGAAGGATTTCTTTTTTTTTTGTATGTATTTGAAATATCAGCCAGTTTACAGCTACATATAGATATGTGTTCATAAATATATTTGTGTCTTTGAATATTATGAAACTGCTTCTCTTTCATTTGTGATCTGAGGCGACGCAGAGTGTGCTTGAGAAACTTGTAACTCCAAAGACATTAAGCATGGATTTGTGTGCTTCAGGACTGTCTTTAGTATTGCCATGATCATGGTCTCACAGAAATGCTTTAATTAAAAAATATGAAAAAATGACTGAATTGATATTGCTATCTAAACTTTAGATTTGAAATGTATGTCAAATGGTCCTTTACCTGGTTCAGAAAATCGGTGTTTCCCAAAGCAAAACTGACAAAATAGTGGTATTTCTTCTTAGTCTCCAAGTGAACAGAAACCACAACTCTTAATTGTTTTTCATTTGTAACAGTGTCATGGAATATGAATCTAGAACTCAGTGGTGATTCTCAATAATGATCATATCAGCAAAATTATCTACAAAATGCACCTGCTGGCTGCAGAGCTACTTGGAGAAAGTAGCAGAGAGATAACTCACAGTTACAAAATTCTAAGTACTAAGAACTCAAGCCCTCTCTCTTGCCATCTTCCCAAAGAGGAATGCTGTAGATACCAAACTGCTCCAACTACTCATGTCTTGGTAGAGTTGCTGGCAGCTCTCTTGGTACGTGCACTATCTGTAAGCAGTTCTGCAATGCTGTGCAATCTGCTGGACCACCAAACAAAAGCCCACATCCCTCCAAACTAGGAAGAAATATTCCCCAACTTGAATTTTCACCTTAGTGCTCCCCATTTTGTGTGTTTTGATGCTGGAGTAATTTGTCATTAGTGTACAAATTCTTACGTATTTAAAACTCATTTGAAACTGTTGCAAAAAAACCAGCGGAATGTAGGTATCGCCACTTTTTGCTGGCCCGCTTGGGTGGTACTGTCACCAACATTGGGAGTGAAATTCCTTAAAGCCAGGTCGAGCTTTAACAAGCAGGCATTGTTTTATTCAGCACCAGGGACATGGGAGATCTCTCCACCTGACATGTCTGCTGGATGTTGTATCTGCCAAAGCTTGTATCAGTCTATTATGTACATATGCATTAGATGGATAACTGTTCCCTCTATTATTGGTTATACATTTAAATTAGCCTTGCTTCTCATGTAAGGCAGGACTAGTGCTCCTTGCAGGTTGGGTGGGTCAAATTCTCTTTGTCTTGAATTGAGTCGGTGGTCACTATCTCCCCCTGCTGCCTTTACTTTTGGCCAAGTTTCAGACCTTTTACAAACAGTACATGAGATTTCTGCATTCTCCTAATCTTCAAGGTTAGAACTTTTCATTAGGAGTCTTGTTTGGTCTGAACATCCTCAAGGGCAAATGGCCTTTCTGCTGTTTCTAAGTACCCACTGTATCTTCTACTCATTAACTCAAAGGTTTAGTTGATGCCTTCCATCCTCAAGGCAGCATTCCTTTCAGGACTGAATTGCCATCCTTTAGGCAACAGTACTGGAAGTGAGGTTGGAAGAGTGGTGGAACACCTGGGTGCTAGTTATTGCCATTTCAAGATTACTTCCAGCAGTTGAGAACAATGTGTATAACTTTATTTGTACTTACTTCACTGTATCAAGTGCTTAATCCACTGAGTCCTCAGCTAACCTGAATTAAAAATGGAAGTATTACGATGAGGGTAGGAACAAGAGGCAAAAGAACTTGGAGGAAGATAGAACTCTGACAAAAGCAGCCTCTTCTGCTGATTGTGCATGTAACCTGCATTCCTGCT